TGGGGGGCTTCGTCTCCCAGACCCCCCTATCATTGTGCTTAAGCTAAAAAGTGAATTTCTCACAAAAGACTACAGCCCCCACCCCCTGTGATAGGGGGGTCTGGGGGGCGAAGCCCCCCAGTTACATAGCTAGAAATAGATGGTATGACAGATTTTCTAACCTAATACGCCCTCAACTTTGTCTATTAATATCTCGCTTCGCAGAAAAAAGAGCGACGATTTTGTCAGAGGAAAAAGTTGTTTGGCATACAAAAACGTGTCGATTGAGTCTATTTTCATCGAAATCGGAGGTGTTGCCGCTAAACTAAATAATTATCAAAACCACAATTTACACTCTACATCACAAATAGTAGTACGAAAATCGGAGTGAGTCCCAGATGCGCACATTGACAAACGGACACATCCAATCATATGTCGTTGTTTATAGAGTCTCTAGAATATCTCTAGGCATATGGCGTTGTGGTTGGATGTGATAAAAACGAAATAAAAACACAAATATTTTCTACAAAACTATTTTTTATTTCTCATCAGTTGCATATCCATTGCATAAACAAACGATACATAATTAAATGATGATAAAATAAACGGTGCACATCATTCTGTGTCCAAATGAACAGCAGGCAACTGGACGATGTCCAAGTGAACGGTGTCCAAATGAACAGTACGCATCCTTCCGTGTCCAAGTGAACAGTGGGCGATTGAACGGTGTCCAAATGAACGGTGTCCAATTGAACGGTGTCCAAGTGAACTGTGTCCAAATGAACGGTGTCCAAGTGAACAGTGTCCAAATGAATAGTGTCCGAGTGAACAGTGCGCATCCTTCTGTGTCCAAGTGAACAAACAAGCAATTCCACGGTGTCCAAGTGAACGGTGTACAAATGAACAGCACGCATCGTTCTGTGTCCAAGTGAACAGTGGGCAACTGAACGGTGTCCAAGTGAACGGTGTCCAAGTGAACGGTGTCCAAGTGAACGGTGTCCAAATGAATGGTGTCCAAGTGAACGGTGTCCAAGTGAACAGTGGGCACTTGAACGGTGTCCAACTGAACTGTGTCCAACTGAACGGTGTCCAAATAAACGGTGTGTAACTGAACGTCGTGCATTTTCTTTCGTGTCCAAAAACAACGGTGCCCAAAAGTTTCGTGTCCAAACGCATCGTGTCCAATTGAACCGTGTGTCAAGTGCCGTGTCCATTTGCACCATGTCCATTTGCAACGTGTCCAATTGTACTGTGTCCAACTGAATGCCACTCCTTAAACCGGCCCGTTACTCGATATCCTGATTTTAAACGCGCGGTTTTTGCCGAAAATTGTGGTAAATCGCCGATTAAAATCGTCATCGGAAATTGCCGCTCTCAACTTCGTGCGAAGAAGATTCAATATCACACCACTACGGGGAGTTCTGGCGCGGGACCCACACGCAAACCGCAAGGGCGACTCCAGACAATTGAGCGCGGAAGCCGGTAAGTCAGAAACTTTATTTGCCGCCGACGGCACTATTCTTAACCCGTACGTAACAGCGAGCATGCATCCGCTCGAAGTTTGCTTTGCGGTATAGTTTGAGCGAATCCAGGATCGCGTGGATTTCCGGGGAACAATCGCGTAAATTTAAATTATACCCGAAAAGAAAGTAATCCGGTTCCGGCAGCACGGCCCGAGCACTGCATCCTACTCGCGTAGCTGCGGCCGGCTGGAACGTAACATTACTTAAAATAATAAAATTGTTTGACAAAATTTTTTATAATTTTTTATTAGGAAATATGTTTTAAATAATTGCTACATGTTCGAGATTCGAACAAACTCGACGGTTAACCTCACGTCAGCGGGGACCGGTGACCGCTGCGGCAAGCATTTATTTGAAACAAACATAACTCGATGCTCTAATTCGGCACACAAGCGACGCACTTTGTCCTTTCAATGTTGATCGCACGTTCGTATCACGTGCGATCTCAGCATCGCGATGCCAGCGAGCCGTCAGCCGTAAGGACTAAGCGATCGCCATGGCAACGGATCGCACAAACAAGGAATCCGCGAATCGGCGGGCGGCTCGCGCCGCGAAAAGCTCGTGTCATTCGACTAATGCCTAAATAAGGTAATGTAGACTCTCTCTCGTGGCGAAAACTGTTTCTCGCCTTGCTTCGCTGGTCCAATCCACTCGCGTCGTAGCCCTTTCAAAAATCGGTATAAATGCGACCGCTCAAAGCGGTTCCTCACGTCGACTGTACAACTCTTCCGAACGCTAATCAGTGCGAATCAACTTAGTTTTTTACACAAATCGGTCAGTTAGATCACGGCGGGTTCTCTCGAGCTCACATCCCACTGGGGATATCGCAGCTCGCAATCGGAATCCGTGAGATTCCTTCTCCTGGATCGCGTCTTCACGAGCTTTCGCTCTATCAGTATCGCTACGCGTTCCAGGCTCTAGTGACTCGCTTGCCGACCAAAAACTGTTTTGCATCGCTCGCGACCGGGCAAAACCGAGTGGATTGTGGACCGAGAGTCGTTCACGTAAAGCTAAAATAGCTGTCTATTGCGCTCTCCGAACGCTCGCGCGACGTTCGGACTCGAATTTTAATTATTTGTGAATTGTGAATCGTCCTGTAGAGTAAGCCGTCGGTCTCAGCCGCGCGCGTAAACGAGCTCAGGGCCGCGCAGTCAAGATTTCCGTCGTTTCGCGGCAAGATCTCCGTCGATTGAGGATCGAATCGATTCTCGCCAAGATTTCTGCCGCGCTACCTACGGCCCTCGGCACATGAGCTCAATGAAGATTTCCGACTTTCGCCTAACTTGAGACCGGACGAGCAGTGAACCGAGAAGTTAATAAACAACAAACAAGAAAACTGAGTGATTCATTCGACTTTGATCTCCACCCAACCTCGTGGCTACCCATCTCCTCCGCACTACTCCTCTGTTTTGCGCTAGGCACAACCGGCGCTTTACGTCGGAACTTGGCTGACCTCAATCGAGTCCGAAACAAAAGCTGGTTCTTCGAGCCGGATCGAGGTTGTGGTGTCGTGGGAGTGAGTGGTGCACGATGAGTGAGACGTTTACACGTCAACTACAGCTGCAGCGATCGATCGAGCGGTCGCTCGACAACTTCAAAAAACTTGGGCGGACCAACCTAACACCGGCAAAGGTACGGTCGCGACTCTCAGCTCTAAAGGATCTCTGGCGGCAATTCCAAGACGGGAACACCGTGCTCCTGGAGACTGTTCCGTCGACCATTCAACAGAGCCAGGACTACTTCGTGGAGCGCCGCTACGAGTCGACGGAAGAGAGGTACCAATGCACCGTTGACTTTATGTCGGAAATTCTGGAGGAGCTCAAGCCGCCTGTAAGTCCTAGCAATGATTCCTTGCAAAGCGGTCAATTTTGATCCAATGTCGCCGCGTTCTCTCGCACAACTTCCGCATATTCGTTTGCCTCCGTTTGACGGAAACCTCGAGGAATGGGAGCAGTTCCGCGATCGGTTCTCGTCACTCATTATTCAAAACCCGGACTTAAATAATTTCGCTCGCATGCATTTTCTTTCCTCGTGTTTGCGAGGGCAAGCGCTGAACAGTCTCAGTAACATGCCTATCACCGCCGCGAATTTTGAGATCGCATGGCAAACATTAGTGTCTCGTTTCGAAAATAAAGGGCGACTCTTGCAATTGCATTTGTCTATGTTGTTAAATCTCCCGACTGTTCATAAAGAGTCTGCGTCGGAGTTGCACTCACTTCGAGACTGCGCGAGTATTGCTGTCACTTCGCTCGCTCAGCTTCAACGTTCACCGGATGAACTGTGGAGCGACATTTTAGTACATATTATAGTTCAAAAACTCGATCCGGTTACTAAGCCGTGGCGGCTTAAGACGATCGACCAACTCGAGCCTCCGTCGTTTAAAGACTTGAGTGCCTTTCTTGCATGCCGTGCGCGAGCTCTTGAGGAGATTGCAAGCTTCCCCGCTATCAAGACTGCTTCAGGAACTGCTCCGATACGCAGGGTGACTGTCGCGACCGCGGCCACGTCGCCCGATCCTGCATGTCCGATATGCAAGGCGCGACATTTCTTCAGCGAGTGTCAGACCTTTGTGCGAGGGAGCGTGTCTCAGCGTCGCGAGCTCGTTCGGAAGCATGGTCGTTGCTTCAATTGCTTAAGTCAAGGACACTCAGTTAGAGAATGCAAAAGCAAGTATTCGTGTCGCAATTGTCAAGCTCGCCATCATACTTTGCTTCACACGAGCCAGCGACCTGAGGCTCATGAAGCGAACGACTCGGTTATCGTGCAACCGAGCTCGAACGTGAACCCGAGCGTTGAAGTTACTTCGATGATCGCGTCATCTTCGAAAGCGCAACATACGCCGGTTCTCCTCGCGACCGCGCGCGTCCGAGTAGGGACGCCCAATGGGCGCTCCCTCGAAATTCGCGCTCTCCTCGATCAGGGCTCCGAGATGACGTTCATCTCGGAGCATCTCGCTCAACTATTGCGTGCGAAACGGCACCGACTGCCTACGTCGGTGTCCGCCGTCGGAGGCGTTCATGCTGGCACATATCGCTTCGCCGCGCGGATCTCTCTTTCGCCTCTTTCGTCCGGTAATCCGTCTATCACGACGAACGCGTTAATTCTTAACACGCTCACATCATATTCGCCGAAACGAGCAGAGGGTGTCGCATCGCTTCGGCATCTCGAGGGCGTCGTCTGGGCGGATCCGGATCCTACCAGTTTGGAACCGATTCACCTCATTATCGGCGCGGAACTCTATGGTGAGGTAATGCTAGAGGGCCTTCGAAAAGGTAACCCTGGCCAGCCGATCGCGCAAAATTCGATATTTGGATGGGTCATCTCAGGTCCGACGACGTCCACTCTCGCCGCTCAAACTCACTTGCGCCCGTGCGAAATTAACTCGAGTCACGCTCATCACATCGCGGTTCATCATTGTGTCACTGAGTCCTCCTTGGAAGAGGAGATTAAACGATTTTGGGAGGTCAAGGAGCCTCCCGGTCATCCGCATACGGCACCTGACGACGCAGCCTGCGAAAATTACTTTCTCGAAACGCATTCACGCACCGCGACGGGACGGTACGTCGTGCGTCTTCCCTTTCGAGCCGGTCCTCCAATCGCAATCGGTGACTCTCGCTTTCGCGCGGAAAAGCAGCTCAACACGCTTGTGAGGCGGCTGCACCAGCAGCCTGCTAAGTTTCGCGAGTACCGCGCATTCTTGAAGGAGTACGAATCACTCGGGCATTCGCGCGTGGTTTCCCGCGCCTCTAACTCGTTAGCGCCGTGCGTCTTCCTTCCTCATCACCCGGTTTTCCGCGAAACCAGCTCAACCTCGCGGTTGCGGGTCGTCTTTAACGTGTCTAGCGTCACGTCGAACGGATCCTGTCTAAACGATCACCTCTTGTCTGGTCCGAAATTGCAAGCCGACTTGCCCTCGGTCATTCTTCGCTGGCGACAGTTTAAGTTTGTCTACACCGCCGACATTGCGAAGATGTTTAGACAGATTTTAGTCGACCCGCGCGATCTCAATTACCAGCGAATCTTGTGGAGGGATTCGCTGGACGATGCAGTCGAGGAGTATCAACTCCTCACTGTGACGTACGGCACAGCTTGCGCTCCTTTCCTCGCTCTCCGAGTCTTACGTCAATTGGCGCGTGACGACGGTTCGCGTTTTCCGGTTGCCGCTTCCGTGCTACTCAACCACATCTATGTCGACGACGTATTATTCGGCCACGATAACGCTCGCGAGCTCCGAGACGCTCGCGACCAACTGATAAACCTCCTCCGACTTGGCGGTTTCGAGCTTCGGAAATGGGCGAGTAACTCCGCGGATCTCCTGACTGACATTGACGCCAATGACCACGGTATCGCGTGTAGCAAGTCTCTGTCCGATTCCGACCACGTTAACATTCTCGGCATCGGATGGAACCCGAAGTCCGACGCCTTCCACATTAAAGTTTCGATTCAGGACGAGATGCCCACGACGAAGCGGTCGATTTTGTCCGCCATCGCGCGTTTATACGATCCACTGGGATGGGTAACGCCCGTTGTTCTCGCCGCGAAGGTAATTATTCAACTGCTGTGGCGACTCGAGGTCTCGTGAAACGAACGCGTTCCCGATACTATTCTTCACAGATGGCAACTCATCTACGCCGGTATCCCGCGTTTAAACGAACTTCACATTCCGCGATGGTCTGGACTCACGGCAAACGCGAGGATCGAATTACACGGCTTCGCCGATGCATCTAATGTTGCTTACGCCGCTGTTGTGTACGCTAGAGTGGCTACCGCGACCGGAAAAATTGTAATCACCCTGCTGCAAGGGAAATCTCGCATCGCGCCGCTCAAGACGCAGAGTATTCCTAGCCTAGAACTGCTAGGAGCAACGCTTCTCGCTCGTCTCATCGAATTCGTGCGCTCGGTCTTGAATCTCAGTGCTGCCCCGTGCGTGTGCTGGTCCGACTCGACTATCGTCCTCGCGTGGCTCCGACAGCATCCGTCAAGGTGGAGGACGTACGTCGCGAATAGAGTCGCGGAGGTGCAGGGCCGGCTGCCGGGCGTCGAGTGGCGGCATATTGCGACCGCCGACAATCCGGCGGATTGCGCGTCGCGCGGTCTCCTAGGAGGCGAACTGTTGTCTCATCCCTTGTGGTGGCAAGGGCCTTCGTGGCTCACGCTTTCGTCGGACCTCTGGCCGACAGACTCCGAGGAGTTGCCTGCCGACGCTCCTCTTGAGACAAAAAAGCACTAGCTGCTAACAAATCGGACTACCAATTCGTGGGATCTCGCGGAGAAATTCTCTTCATGGCCTAAGCTCATTCGCGTAACAGCGTACGTTCTCAAATTTGTTGCATGCTGCCGACGCTCCGCCGTTACAACCGATTCCGGTCGAGAACCCGGAATACCGCTCTCCGCGCGTGAATTCGACGCTGCCCGAGTCTTCTGGCTCAAGCAGATTCAACGCGAACTATTTGCTAGCGAGCTCCGAGAGCTCAGTCAAGGTCGAGGGCTCCCCTCAAAAAGCTCGCTCCTCTCACTGGGGTCGTTTATCGACCATGAAGGGCTGATGCGGGTTGGCGGACGACTTCAAAACGCGGCCAACGTTTTAACTTCGCGTCACCCGATCTTGCTCGCTGCGCATCCGCTCGTTACGTTGATCATAAGACACACTCACCTGCGCGCCTTGCACGCGGGGTTGCAGCTCACCTTGAGCACGCTTTGTCGCGAATATTGGGTGCTTCGCGCTCGAACTATGGTCAAATCGATCATCCATCGTTGCGTCGCGTGCGCGCGCGAGCGCGCCGCCGTACCGATCCAGCTGATGGGCAGTTTGCCGATCATCCGCGTAACTGCTCCGTCTCGCAGTTTTTTGCATTGCGGCGTTGACTACGCCGGACCCGTCGCGGTGCGCGCTTCTGCCGGCCGCGGCATTAAATCCATCAAAGCTTACATCGCTCTATTTGTATGCTTAGCGTCTCGCGCTGTCCATCTCGAGCTCGTATCCGACTACTCGACTGCAGCATTTCTTAACGCTTTCGCTCGATTTTGCGCTCGCCGTGGATTGCCACAATCTGTTTACTCAGATAACGGTACGAACTTCGCCGGCGCAAGTCGAGAGCTGCACCTAGCATACCGGACTGCATTACGCGACCTAGACCTCCAAGGTCGACTTGCCTCAGACAAAATCGACTGGCATTTCATCCCGCCCTCCGCGCCGCATTTCGGCGGCATCTGGGAAGCCGGGGTTAAAAGTGTCAAGCACCATCTGCGAAGGGTGCTTGGCGATCACACGCTCTCTTTCGAAGAATTTTCGACGTTACTGTGTAAAATCGAAGCGTGTCTAAATTCGCGTCCAATCGCCCCGCTCTCAGACACTATTGACGATTGCGACAGCCTCACGCCAGGCCATTTTTTAATCGGTTCGGCAATAACCACCCCGCCGGAACCGTCTGTGCTCGATCTGCGCGCGAATCGGATCTCTAGGTGGCAACTCCTCCACCAACTCACTGAGCGATTTTGGCGATTGTGGTATAACGATTACGTTAACACCTTGAATCAGAGAGGTAAGTGGCGACGAGTGCAGCAGTCGATTCGAGAGGGAACTCTCGTTCTCTTGCGCAACCCTAATCTCCCCCCGTGTAAATGGGAGCTCGGAAGGGTTATTCAATGTCACCCTGGCTCGGACAGATTAACTCGCGTTGTCTCCGTAAAAACGGCGACCTCTCAGTTCACCAGGCCAATCGGAAAAGTTTGTGTCCTGCCGATCGACTGCGATGCGACATCCTGCGGCGAATCGGGTCCGAACAATTTGATTTGCGAGCGTGAATCGTAATTGCGTGCGTCAGTTCGAGTTGATTGCGTCAGCTTCTCGTCAAGTTAATGTTAGTTATAGTGCATCGTTTTTGTGCCACTCCATATTTTCTTGCATTTTCACCGCGGGTCTTCTGCCCCGCTGGAGGTCTCTCGAACAATCTGTCCTCGCTGCTTAATTGAAGCTGTCGCTTCAAGGCGGGCGGCATGTTCGAGATTCGAACAAACTCGACGGTTAACCTCACGCCAGCGGGGACCGGTGACCGCTGCGGCAAGCATTTATTTGAAACAAACATAACTCGATGCTCTAATTCGGCACACAAGCGACGCACTTTGTCCTTTCAATGTTGATCGCACGTTCGTATCACGTGCTATCTCAGCATCGCGATGCCAGCGAGCCGTCAGCCGTAAGGACCAAGCCATCGTCATGGCAACGGATCGCACAAACAAGGATTCCGCGAATCGGCGGGCGGCTCGCGCCGCGAAAAGCTCGTGTCATTCGACTAATGCCTAAATAAGGTAATGTAGACTCTCTCTCGTGGCGAAAACCGTTTCTCGCCTTGCTTCGCTGGTCCAATCCACTCGTGTCGTAGCCCTTTCAAAAATCGGTATAAATGCGACCGCTCAAAGCGGTTCCTCACTTCGACTGTACAACTCTTCCGAACGCTAATCAGTGCGAATCAACTTAGTTTTTTATACAAATCGGTCAGTTAGATCGCGGCGGGTTCTCTCAAACTCACATCCCACTGGGGATATCGCAGCTCGCAATCGGAATCCGTGAGATTCCTTCTCCTGGATCGCGTCTTCACGAGTTTTCGCTCTATCAGTATCGCTACGCGTTCCAGGCTCTCGTGACTCGCTTGCCGACCAAAAACTATCTTGCATCGCTCGCGACCGGGCAAAACCGAGTGGATTGTGGACCGAGAGTCGTTCACGTAAAGCTAAAATAGCTGTCTATTGCGCTCTCCGAACGCTCGCGCGACGTTCGGACTCGAACTTTAATCATTTGTGAATTGTGAATCGTCCTGTAGAGTAAGCCGTCGGTCTCAGCCGCGCGCGTAAACGAGCTCAGGGCCGCGCAGTCAAGATTTCCGTCGTTTCGCGGCAAGATCTCCGTCGATTGAGGATCGAATCGATTCTCGCCAAGATTTCCGCCGCGCTACCTACGGCCCTCGGCACATGAGCTCAATGAAGATTTTCCGACTTTCGCCTAACTTGAGACCGGACGAGCAGTGAATCGACAAGTTAATAAACAACAAACAAGAAAACTGAGTGATTCATTCGACTTTGATCTCCATCCAACCTCGTGGCTACCCATCTCCTCCGCACTACTCCTCTGCCTTGCGCTAGGCACAACCGGCGCTTTACGTCGGAACTCGGCTGACCTCAGTCCAGTCCGAAACACTACAAATAGAACAATAAGCAATAAGCAGTTTTGTTTTCCTTTTGTACTGGTATAAAATTTCCAATTTGCCAAAAATTATGGCAAGGCCTATCACTAGAAATTCTTTTCATGATTTTATAATCATTATAATGTTTAACAGTCAATAAATCTTATAAACACTATAACCCACATTCTCAACTCTTTTTTATCATTTGTCCTTTTTCGCTACACTAATAGGCTACATTCAGAAATCCTACTCAATAGAGTTAAGCCAAGCACACGATGTTTGTTTTCGTGCTGAATTGTTTGCTGGATGGAAATACTCTATTCTGATTTGTGTTTTGATCCGTCTTCAGAAATGCATCAATCAGAACAGAGTATTTTCATCCAGCAAGCAATCCAGCATGAAAACAAGTATCGTGTGCCGCTGGCTTTACTTAAATAAACTAATCATTTTTGACTATATAATCATGGATTGCTAGCGGCGATTCTAAGCGTCTGTTAACATCAGTACCCATATAGCACAGATCTTGCAGCAATATTGCTGCAACGTTGCAGCAATGTTAAAAGTTGCAGCAGTGTTGCTGCAATGTTGCTGCAAGATCTGTGCTGCATGGATAGCGCCGCCAGGACCAAACAACGGCAAAAGAAGTAACTCATAAGGAGATGCCACAACCTGCTAAATCGATTTCTGAACGAGACAGCACGTTCGCTAGCTGCGATGTTAAGCATCAACACTCTAATTGAGATTTGTGCAAATGGACCTTTGTTTATGAGAAATTACAATATAAAGTTTAAATTGCGGGACTGTATCACGGATATGGCTAAAAATGCGACTGTCTTTCAACGAGGTGGCGTGGCTGAGTAGACTGAGTCCACGTCGAAAATTTTTGAGCCGGCAGCAAGCGTTCGAAACCCGGCGACGAGTTATTCTTGTGCGGTGTTTTTTTTTTGTTTTTCTTACTTTAGAGCATGTAATTAATGTTTGTCGAATATGATACATTTGTTTTGCATATGTCTCGTTTTTATGCTATTAATCAGAGGTAATTAGGGAAGTGTCAGGCTTGTTTAACGCAAACACGAATATAGACACATATTTTGCATTGCTTACAATGCAATATATATTTTAGTACATTACTTTCATATGAAAACATTATATACAACATTGTCATATAATAAAACATTCTCATATAATAAAACATTTTCGTATAATAAAACATTATCGTATAATAAAATACTGTCATATAATAAAACATTGTCGTATGAAATATATAGCAATCTATCTGCCATAGAATGTTTTCTTTTATAGGCAGGTTAAAAATATGATCACGAAGATATACAGCTATCTTGATTTATTTACAGGCGATGAAAGTATACATTTGGACATTCGAGGTGATGCTATGTGCATACAATCACTTTCTTATTATTTATCATCAGCATCAATAACGTTTTAATATGTACTAAAATATATATTGCATTGTAAGTAATACAAAATATGTGTCTATATTCGTGTTTGCGTTATACAAGCCTGACACTTCCCTAATTACCTCTGATTAATAGCATAAAAACGAGACATATGCAAAACAAATGTATCATATTCGACAAACATTAATTACATGCTCTAAGGTAAGAAAAACAAAAAAAAACACCGCACAAGGATAACTCGTGACCGAGTTTCGAACGCTCGCTGCCAGCTCAAAAATTTTCGACATGGGAGCCTCAGTCTGCTCAGCCACGCCACCTCGCTGAAAGACAGTCGCATTTTTAGCCATATCCGTGATACAGTCCCGCAATCCAAACTTTATATTGTAATTTCTCATAAAGAAAGGCCCATTTGCACAAATCTCAATTAGTGTGTTGATGCTTAATATCGCAGCTAGCGAACGTGCTGTGTCTCGTTCAGAAATCGATTTAGCAGGTTGTGGCATCTTTACTCAGTAGAGCAAAACAAAGTTAGCAACGTAAATGCTTCTAATATTCGCGTATCACATGGTGATACGTATTTGAAAGACGTAATAGTATAGTAGAAGTAATAAAAGAAAAATCCAAATGCACGC